AGAGAGAGAGAGAGGCAGAGGGAGAAGCAGGCTCCCAAGGAGCAGGGAGCCCGATGCGGGACTCGATCCCAGGACTCCGGGATCATGACCTGAACCGAAGGCAGACGCTTAACCATCTGAGCCACCCAGGCGCCCCAGAGTCACTAAGATTTAACAGATTTTTAGATATGCTACTGTTTAGATCAAAGGGAAGATGGAACACAAAAGCAGGAAAGAGAATCCTGGGTTTGTCAGATGGGTTGATGGCATGGTGAAGGCAAGAGAGTTAAGAAACTCACGGAAAAGAGCATGGAAGCCTCAAGAAAAACTGAATTCTGAAAATGTGGGGAGAGAAAGAATGAAGACATGTGGGATTCTCTTACTTCTTGACCTAAGGATATATGAAAGAAAAGGAAGAAGACAGGCCAAGAAAATCCTCTGGGGGAGAACCTACAGACATTACAAAAATAGGAGTGAACAAGCTTTGAGGTGAATATTATCAATTAGAAGCAAAAATCACAAGACTGAACCAAGTCGCAGCTAGAAAAACTCTGCCTTCCTTTGACTTAGAGAAATCTACATGGCAGCACCTGTAAACATTTTATTTCTGAATGACCTTGTTTCCAGTTAAAGGACCCTAATGAATGGCTAGACCCAAAAAACTCAAACTCTTTGAGAAACAGGCAACTAAGTGTTCACTCACACTCCTCTCTACGGGTATGCTGTGCAAAGAAGAACCCTCTGGAATAGTAGCTCATCAAGTTTAAGGTTTATGATATCAGGGGGAAAAAAAAACAGGAAGGGGTAACTTAGAAAAATACATTCCAAGAATATAAAGTGACAACAAGGAAATGTCTTCACATCTAATAGAATGACTACAATTAAAAGCACTGAAGAAAAGGAAACCAATGAGAGAACCAAATGCTGGCAAGGAACACAGAACTCTCATACATCGCCAGTGGGAGTATACAAGCACTTGGTAAAACTCTTTGGCAGTTTCTTACACACCTTTCCTAAGGTACAGCAATTCTACTCCTAGGTGCCAGGGAAATGACAATATATGTCACAAAAAAACTCACAAACAAACGTTCATTGTATCCTTAAGGACTCGTAACAGCCAAACACTGGAAACAACCGAAATGTCCATCAACAGGAAAATGGATCATCAAATTGTGGTGCATTCACACAATGAAACACTACTGAGTAATAAAAAGAAACAAACTACTGAGACCCAGAACAACATGGATGAATCTCAAGCACTGTGCTGAGGGAAAGACGGCAGACACGTAAGAGTATAGCCATTCAAGACGATTCCATTTATATCAAGTTTTAAAAGAGACAAAACTCATCTAAGGTGATAAAAGTCAGAACAGTCCTCACAGTGGAGGCCAGGGAGTGACTGGAAAGGGTGACATAAATGTTCTATTCTTGATCGAAGCAGTGGCTACGTGGATGTTAAAACTCAAACTGGAGATTTTTAAATGTGTGCATTTTATCATTTAGAAAACAGAATAAAACAGAACGAAGGCATGGTCAGCCGTGACACAGGCCTCTAAGAGTTGAGAAAGATGGAGAGAAGCGGGTTATCTCCCTGCCAATGGTGGAATGGAAGCCCAATGTGAATGGAATGAGGAAAGAACGAGGCAAGGAGTAGACAGAGCGAATGCAGACAAGTTGTTAAAGGAGTAACAAAAAAAGACAGGGTCGTACTTGGTAATAGGCTGACTCAGAAGAACAAAAAATGACTCACCTGTGAATTAAAAGCCAAAAAACAGGCACCACGCTGGGCATAAAACTCCAGTGTCGAAGCCCAAATAACATTAGGAATCAAAAAAAAAAAAAAAAACTCCATTTCTAAAACTAGGGAAGTCAGGCAGGAGAGACTATAAGAGGAAAATGAAGAATTCTCATTTCATTTCAGACTCTAATGGGACATCCAAGTTTCAGGAGAGTCATTTTTGTTACTAACCCTTAATAACATCATCTTGCATTTGCATAGGACTGAATTTCCCATCAGACTTTATACCTGTGTTCTCACTAATCCTCACAAAAACCCTATAGAATACTGTTACCCCATTTTAAAAGAGGAGAGGAAATCACAGTTCAGAGCAGTTCAATGGCTTGCCCAAGATCACATAGCTAGTCACATTAAACCCATGCCTTCTGATTCCAATCAAAAGATTTTTCCATTATGCCACACCTGCTCCTCTCTACAAGATTACAACCTCTCTTTAGCCTAGCACACATTTTTATCTGTGTCCCTCTAGAACTCACCACTATTTTCAATGCAGCAAAAACCTGCAGAAACTGGGTCATTTTCAAACACAGTCCACAAAGTACAAAAGGAGGGTTATGGATAACACCAATTCTAGAATACCTTTAATTGGTCCTATCTTAAACTACGAGCCTGAGCCCCAGGAGGACAAGATGCTGCAGTGAATTTATGGAGCTTTAGGCACCACAGGCGAGGTGGCCAACTCTGCAAGTCATCCTCGGAACCAACTAATGTATTTTACCACGAACACAGCCCGCACAGCATAAATGTGAGCAACCAGGCAACCCCACAACTAGGCACTATACACATTTCTCAGCAAATGCTTCCCCTACCATTTATTTCCCTTATTCTTATTCCCAAACACAAGAGCTAAATATTTTCATTATGTGATTGGTCTTTAAAAGTTGAATCAACTCTTTTGCTTTTGCAGAGTTATATTTTTAAGTAGTTTCATAAAAGCGGTTGTTATATAAATATGTTTGGAATGTTTGCTGAAAGGAACAACAATTCCGGGGCGCCTGGGTGGCTCAGTCGTTAAGTATCTGCCTTCGGCTCAGGTCATGATCCCAGCGTCCTGGGATCAAGCCCCCATCAGGCTCCCCACTCTGCGGGAAGCCTGCTTCTCCCACTCCCCCTGTTTGCGTTCCCTCTCTCGCTGTGTCTCTCTCTGTCAAATAAATAAATAAAACCTTAAAAAAAAAAAAGGGAACAATTCCAAAACAATACCCATCTTTCACATGCTATGTTCCTGTGTAATGAAATCTGTATACGAAGGATTAAATCATCTAAATCATTTACAAGTCTAAAGATAAACTAGTTTGTAGGATAGGATACAAGGCATTACTAAGATATATTTCACTTTATTTAAAAAAAAAACCTTGCTTGAGAGTATAAAATTAAATTGAGCCATGTTTCCAAGAACAGAGGTAATTAAGTCCAGAGATTCAGCAGCTGGTGGCGTTGCTGGCTGATAGATTGAGGAGTCTCTAAGACACTGCCTGGGACAGCTGGACAAAATCGCCTCTTACCTGGATGCATCTGCTCTGTGCTGCTCCGCAGTTTGCTGTAGCCATGGCTCAAGGGCACCCTCTGGTAATGAGGCGGGGAAGAAGGAGGGGAGGCGAGGGGTGACATCGTGGGAGACTGTGTTTCCTGCTTCAAAAGAACCAGAGCAGAGTTCAGAGGCAATCACTCGAGAAGCCTGGCGCTCTGAGCTGCAGTTATGAAGTATAATGTAACTCTATTGCTGGAGAGATGGCTGATTTAACAAATGGGGGGAATGTTTTCTCAAAAACACAGTTTGGTTAAAATGCAGTGTCTGAGGATTCACATCTCCCAGAGAACAAAATCTCGCCAGCGCTTAGTTGTCTAAATTACTAAAACAAGCCTGAAATGCTTTCAGTTATTCCGCTGAAATTTTCCTTTGGAAAATGGAGACAATGATCACATGAAATAGCATTCATACTTCCCAAATCTGATCTCTTTGTGGATAAATTCAAATTTCATTCATTAATAAAGGCTCCTATTTCCTGGATTTACACTTATCAAGTCTTCTAGCAAAGAAAAGAATATTTGTATGGCAGACTTCTTTGTCTTATAGAAGATATTATATTGAATATAATTTGACTTTTCTGCATGATTCAGTACCTTTATTAGAAGTATGAGCTGTACCTTGATGCCCTCAGGGTTTACTAATGTGTAAGACTATTTACCTCTTTCTTGATAGGCTCACTCTTCTGAGATATTATACTTCTGTCTCTATCAATCACCACCTGACTATTGCAATTAGTGCTCTAATTTTAAAAAGCCCATCCTCCCTATCCTTGTCCCTAACCTACTAAATGTGTAATGGCAGCATTTCCCAAGATGGAATTCCAAACATGCTCTGCAAGAAAAGATTCCCTGGTCAAAGAAGTTTAGTAAACACAAATCTCCAGGTCTCTTTACAGCAGGACTTCTCAGGGCCTTGAATGTGCTAATGTGCACTGTAACTCTCCAAGCCTGAGGATGTAGTCTTTCCCCCAAGAATATGAAGCAGCATTCTCCAAACATATTTAACCACTGAAACCTTTTCTCCAAACTTTTTGTGAGGAGAGGGTCTATTAAAAACTCCTAGGGATGCCTGGCTGGCTCAATCAGTAGAGCGTGTGACTCTTGATCATGGAGTCCTGAGTTAAAGCCCCACGTTGGGTGTAGGGTTTACTTAAAAAAAAAAAACAAAACAACTCCTGTAAGTTACATTTCAAAGAACCCATTTGGAAATGCTGATTAGAGAAATCAAGTAAATGTGTTAAATCAGTAGTCTTACTTTGGACACAGTTCCACATTCAAGTAGGCTCTAAAGGGCCCAGGGGTGGCTATATGTCAGCTGCTTTTTCTTGCTACAAGGAAACTTTACTGGCTGACTTCCAAGTCTATAATTGAATCCCAGATGGTGAGGTTTGCTAGAAGCTTGACAGCAGATATGAGGCACTGCTACGTGAGGTTTCATGGTCAGAATCAAAAGGACATGCCTTATCAGACTGTTTACCTGTTTATCCTCATCGTCCATTCTTTTGAAGGTGTTTTTTTCTGTGATTAAATATGGAATCTGAACCTTAGCGCCATGCAGTTCCGCCGGGTTCCCAAATCGTGTATCAGCATCAGTCTTTGACATCATAAAGCGAGGCAGCGGCAGTTCTTTAGGACCAGAATCAGAGAAGCTCAAGTAAGGCTTCATTTTAAAACTATGAAAAGCGGGACTCAATGGCCAAAAGATGAATCACTTTTGAGGAAAAATTCCAGAGCACTAAATATAGATTAAATTTTTATTTTGACATAATGAAGACTCCTATAATAATGTCGTGAGAGAAAAATGCTTCCGCTTTACCAAGGCATTCTGGCTTCACATTTTTAAATGCTGTCAAATCATTGCAGAGGATATTCAGGTTGTGGACTGCTCTCCCACCTCAGCCTTTAGTCCAGCACCAGCAAGAAGGATGTTATACTGTATAAACACAGTAAGTGGCAAATGAAGCAGGCAAAACCTATACAACACATACTATATGCCAGACACTATAGTAAGATCTGCAAATGTTAAGTCATTTAATCCCCACAACAATTCAATAAGGTAAGACTATCATTAGCCTTCTTTTACAGATGTGGAAACAAACACAAAGAAGCTAAGTAACACCCCCAAGATCGCACAGCTCATCATCTCTGGCAGAGCTGTCAGTGCCCAGAGCTGCTGCCCTACAGACAGGCCCCTCATTCCTAGGGCAAACTTACTGGGTAAAACGGGTTTTCACCCTACGTCATTCCTTAAGGAATTTTCACACTCGATCTCCAATTGTCTTTTCATAATAGAATAAGGAAAATGGTATCAAGTTAGAGCCATCAGTCCAATGTTCAGCCAGATTCTACTGTCAAAACCATTAGCCACACTCAAAATGCTACAAAGAGCTGAAACACAACAGTCTGGAATATTTACTTATCTCTCAAATATCTGATAAAACTATTCTGAAACAGAAATGATGCTTTGGCACACTTCTAGTTCTCAGCACAGCAAATCACACACAATCACACAACACAAAGAACTCCAAAAATGGGGATAATATTATGGATTATGCATAATGATTTGCATCTGTATCCATTGTTCAGGATAATACTCATCACCGTTCCTCTGCACTTCCATCAGCGCTCTATTCCAAACACAGCTGCATTTCCACTGATTGATGCTGTGCTAAAGCCAGAAAACATCTTAGCAACAACAACCAAGTATCCCAGCTCCCCAGGCAAAGCAGGCCCCTGGTTCTCTAATATCCACATCATGTTTATTTTTAGTTGCTATGTCCACATTTGATTCAAAGAAGTAGGCAATATGATGACTCCCTGCATGATCAATCAGCCAAAGGCCCAAGAGACGTAAATAGAGTAAGCAATCTGCGAAATTAAACCAGGACTCTCCTCTAGAGAGAGGATGGCCACCAATTTTGATCATTGTAACGTTTCCCAACCTCAGCAGCTCTCCAGTACTCAAGGCAGGAATGGACTTCAAAAGAAAAAAAAGGCAGAAGAAAAGAAAACCTAGATTTTTCATAAATCAAATATAAGCTCATTCTACGGTTATCTTCTCAGAAAGGTATTTGTTTCAGTTCAGTCTCCAAAAGGTATCTAAAAAGATGGAACAAGATCACATAAAATAATCTGCACCCTGATTACCCATAAGAGGATGACTCTACTTCCAAACACTACTTGAGGAAGAAGAGAAATACATGTTCACATTTGTAAACTCCCTGACCAGTGTTTTACTGGGTGTTCAACACATAATTCTGGGAATAATAGAATACAAACACGAGAAGATGAATATCAACTATTATTATACTAGGACTCCCAGATATCCTTTAGGACACTATCACATCACACAGTCTCCTCCTTCCCTGGCGATGGCATTTCTCCAGAACTATTCGCCTGGCAAAGAACCTCTCTCTCCTCCAGATGGCCACCAAACAGCAAAACACAAAATATAGCTGAATTTCTCTTGTACTTTCTTTGCTTAATGTGGTTTTAAACAACTCTCTTAACAGAATTGTAACCATACATAATAATAATCCTATCACTGAAAACTTTCATGAAGGTGCTATCTCCCATAAACTGCTCCAAGCTTTCAAAAAGTGAAAAGTAAAACTCTAGTTTGTAAATATTCAGTCTAAATGTTTTTTTGTAGGGCACCTGGGTGGCTCAGATGGTTAAGCGTCTGCCTTCGGCTCAGGTCATGATCCCAGGGTCCTGGGATCGAGTCCCGCATCGGGCTCCCTGCTCCTTGGGAGCCTGCTTCTCCCTCTGCCTCTCTCTCTCTCTGTCTCTCATGAATAAATAAATAAAATCTTTAAAAAAAATAAAATAAAATAAATGTTTTTTGTAGTCATATGGACAACATATTTAATAGTGAAACTTTATTCAAAAATAATCAATAAAGTATCTGCTATCTGTGTCAAGTAATCACAAGAGAAGACCCATTTGTAGTAGTTGGTTAGAATCTTTTCTCCTAAGTTAAAACAAGGAAATAAATAGAGTTCAAATTAAAGGTTTATGGGGGCCACGGAGACAACGAGTACAGCCATCCAAGGCAGTAATTTGTTTCATAATGTTATCTCTTAGGTTGTAGTCTTTGAACACAGAAACACTTTGTATATTAAATATAAATGACTATTTTTCCCTTCCACAAATAAAACTATGCTTCTAAACATCTGACCCTCTAAAAAGTAAGGGAAAAATCCTTTCATTTTCCGTATTTGATGGAGACATGAATATAATACTTCCATTTCCTCAATTAGAAAAAATGTAAACATAAAACAGAAATGGAATAACAAATGGTAAATGACAATGGGGAGAGGTGGAGCTGAGCAGAGAGCCCATGTTCCATCTAAAATGGCAGCTGCTGTTCACTGTCCTTCAATACTGTCCACTAGAAATTGAAGGCGAGCCACAAACATAATTGTAAATTGTGTAGTAACTACAATATTTTTTAAGTGAAGAAGTCACAAAAAGACAAAGACTGTATGATTTCACTTATATGAAGGATCAATAGTCAAATGTATAGGGACAGAAAGTAGAATGGTGGTTGCCTGTGACTAGGGTAAGGGGAAATGCAGAGCTGTTTAATGGCTACAGAGTTTCATATATCTAAGATGAAAAGCGTTCTGGAGATGCATGGTGGACATGGTTGCACAATACGAATGTACTAAATGGTACAATTAAAAAATGGCTGGCTGGCACCTGGCTGGCTCAGTAGGTAGAACATGCAACTCTTGATCTCAAGGTCATGAGTTCGAGCCCCACATTGGGTGTGGAGATTACTTTAAAAAAAAAAAACAGTTAAGATAAATTTTACGGTAAATTTTATGTTATGTATATTTTATCACAATTTTTCAAAACTTTTCCAAATAAAAAAGGAAACAGGTAAAATTAATTCTAATAATTATTTCAACCCAATATTATCATTATAAGATATAATCAAGATAAAAATTGTTAATGAAGTAGTTTACATTCTTTTTTTCAGACTTTCCAAAGTCCCAGGTGTTTTTACATGCACTGCACACCTTGATTCAGACGTACCACATTTCAAGTGCTCAGTAGCCACACTAGTACGGCTACTGGCTACCCTATTAGAACAGCACAATTCCAGTGGATGGTTGACACGAGGGAATGTGGACCACTGTGGCCAGAAATCTGGATTTTACTAAGAGATATTATAATGTTAAATGTTAACAACTAATTGATTTCTTTTAAAATTATGTAAGGAGTATTTTGTATGGAGGGATAATTTACATAAATCTGAAGTGTACCATCTAAAGAATTTTGACAAATGTATATATAAGAACATACACCCAAATTAAGATAGGGCATTTCCATCCTATAGAACTTTCCTTCACATCTATTTCTAGTTAATCCCCTCTCCTAGTCCCACTCGGCAACCCCTGTTGTAATATCTAAACCCAAACTACCTTTGCCATTATAGAACTTCACATAATGGAATCACTCAGTATTTATCCTTGAAACTAGCTTCCCTCACAACATTTTGTCTGTGAGAATCATCCAGTGTACTGTATGTAGACATAGTTTATTCTTTTTCATTGCTATGGAATAATCCATTTTTAGGAATATATTGAGATTTTTTTTTTTTAAATCCATTCTCCTATGATAAACATCTGGGCTGTTTCCAGTGTAGGGCCAGTATGAATATAGCTATTACAAACATTCTAATAAATAGTTTTTTATGGACATGAATTAATTTATTTTGGGCATAAACCTATGAACTAAGTCCAACCCACTGCCTATTTCTGTATACCCTGCGAGTTAAGAATGGGTATTATATTTTTGAATGTCTGAAAAACATCAAAAGAAAAATAGTTGTGATGTGAAAATTGTATGACAGTCAAATTTCAGTATCCATAAATAAAGATTTTTTGGAACATGGCCACTCTCCTTTGTTTACATATCGTCCATATCCGCTTTCATAGTTCAAGGGCAGAGTTAGGTAGTTGCAGCAAAGGCCATATGGTTCACAAAGCCTAAAATATCCACCACCTAGCCCTTTACAGGAAGAGTTTGCTGATCCCAGTCTTAAACAATGCAATGGTTCAAGTAAAACGTAGCCTTACTAAAAAACAATAAAGGTGCATTTAATGGAAAAATATTTTACACTGCTTGAGTATTTTTATTTAAATTTTAAATAATTTACATTAAATTAAAAATTCAATTCCTCAATCAACACTAACCATATGTGCCTAGTAAGTACTATATTAGATGGCACAGTTTAGATGCTTCTCCAAATTTTTGACAGTACCTGATTTTATGCTCACAACAATCCTGTAAGACAGGTACTATTGGTATACCCCTTCTCCAGGTGAGCCATTTAAAGCTCAAAAAGGTTAGGACACTTGTCTGAAGGCACACAAATAAAAAGTGATGGTGCAAACAATTCAAAATCAGGTAACCTATTGCTGGGGGCCCGCACTCAGCCACTAGGCTATACTGTCATCCTGAAAATTAAAATATTCTTTCTCTTGCAGGTCTGAACACTCAGCATGAAACTGTGGCATTTCAGAGCTGGAAAATAGCCTAGAGAAAACCTGCTTGGAATATCCACATCTTACAGGTGAAGACTAAGCCCAGGAAGGGGAGGGTGGGCCTTGTCT